CGGTAATTTTCGTCAGGTATGATACCTATTATCGACAACCATGGTAAAGAGTACAGTAAGTACTGTAAATAAATTCTTGCTTTTACGATGAACGAAGAACTAAAATGATCTTTTTTACCATGGCGTTCTAGGCTGAATCGATAATTTACGAAATATCCCTAATTCTCCCTCAGTCTGCATTTTATACTCCCAGTCTGCATTTGTATTTTGCAGTCTGCGTTTTGTACCCAGTCCGCAGTCTGCTGATTATACTGACCGTAAAGGATTCAGTGTTGTATTATAAGTATTGCCCCAAACAACTAGAGCATATGTAAGAAATGGATAAATGAGAGAATAATATAGATTAACAAGAATATCAATTGTCACAAAATTGCGTATTTTTGATATAGCTCTGATATTGCGTTTTATCTTTTTGGAAATTTCCAAAACCTGAGCTTTAAAGTTTAGGTTAGTATCTATCACTATACCCAAATATTTAAAATTAGGCACTTGTTTTAATACACCACATGTGTAGGCATCAGAGATGATCTAATATTGCCAATTGTCACAAACTGTTGCCGGTTCTCTAGCTAAGATTGAAACCATTTTAGCGCCACGCCCCGCACACCATACCATTCAAGTTTTTGTAACAAAATGTGATGGTTAACTGTATCAAATGCTTTTGACAGGTCAAGGAATACTGCACATGAGTATTTACCATCATCAATAGCTTTCTGGATCTGGTCAACTAATGACAAAATTGCATGCAAAGTAGAATGATTTCAACGAAATCCAAACTGTTTGGTATATAGTATATCATATTTTTCAATAAAGTTTGACAAACGTTTAGACACAAATTTTTCAAGAATCTGATTGAAAATAGATAACAAAGATATAGGACGATAATTGCCTAAAATTAACTGTGAGCCTTTTTTATGCACAGGGATAACGCTGGCCAGCTTGAATTGGTTAGTTACAGTGCCGGTTGAAAGACAATAATCAAAAATAGATTCCAAAGGCTCCGAGATAAACCTCCCAAGTAGCTTCAGAATTTTTACTGGTATGCTGTACGGGCCAGTGGCTTTTGAGGAATTGAAATTATTAATTATTTCTTCAACTTTGCTAGAGGTAGTTGGATTCAAAAATAGACTATTTACTTGGCAAGAAGTTAAAAATGACATTGGGTTTGTATCAATGCAGGGGACATCTCTGGTTAATTCATTTCCAATATTGGCAAAAAAATAATTAAAACTGTCAGCAATTGATTTACTATCAGTTACTTCCTCACCATTAATAAGTAACTATATTATATGTTTAATTCCTTTCCATATATTTTTAATATGCGATCTATTGATAGTGAAATATTGATTATAATAATTAATTTTACTGATTTTTGATAGGTGATTTATTTTGTTCCTATAAGATTTATATTTATTGTGAAAATACAGTGATTTTGTTTTGAGATATTTTTTATAGTAGTTGTTCTTAAAAGTTTTATAGATTTCCTAATCCCTGGGGTTATCCAGGGTTTATCAAGGTGTTTAAGATCTTTTTTACTCAGGCATCGCAGAGGAATATGTTTATCTACAAAATCAGAAAGTTTGGAGTGAAAATTATCGAAAACTTCTGTTGGGTTGCCATTATGGTTTCTCTTCAAATGTTCTTTGTATTCTTATTGAATTTCCATCTTTGACTAATGGTTTTCAGCTATAAAATTCTTTTTTTGTTTAATGAAGGGCAAATGGTGTAAATGCCAGAAATTAGTAAATTTTTGTCACAATTTGTTTTTTCACAATACTCCTGCTATTCATATGCTTTCGCAGGTTATTCGTTAAATAATTTCAATGTCTCCCAGTGTAATGTTTGGTCTGTCATTTTTTCTGAATTTAGAGTGTGATAAAACATGCTCACTTTAATGCAATGGTGGGAATTTTGATGGCCTCATTTTCTCGTCAGATTCACCTAAACAGGAGTTGTCATGGTAGATAGAGAATGCCCCAGACAGGGGAATCTGACAACAGATGCCTCTTTAACCAGCTGGGGCTCAGAGCTCAGTGAACAGAAAAAGCATTGCATTTGCAATGTGATTTTCATGTTTTGCATGTATGCAAATGGCATTAAAACTACCTGTTCTCAAAGCGGCTTCATTGCCCTTGAACAATGGAATATTAATTCATGGCATCAAGCAAATCCTGTAGGCAGATGTTGTAGAAAAATGAAAATTTAGTAAAGGCAGTTTTGGGAACGTGGTTCTTTGGCAAACCTGAAAGATAAGCTAGTCATGGTAAAGAAGCTTAGATGGCAGAAACACAAGAAAGAGATCTTTTTGTGAAAGAAGTACAAATTTTAAATAATTTAAGGTGCAAATATATTGTTGGCATAGAAGGATATTGTTCCTACCCTGTTGCTGTATTTCTTGAGTACATATATTTCCATTTTACCTCCCTTGGAATTCCAGATGAGGTTGCTTATCATCTTTGTCTGATTTTCTGGAGTACATGACCCAAAGTGATTTTGTTGAACAAATGCCACTCCTTCAAATGAAGATTTCTAGTGATGTTGCAGCAGCAATCGAGTTCATCCATAAAGAAGACATAGTGCCTAGGGGCATAAAACTACCTAATGTTCTTGTGCCCAACCAGCATTATTGCCATTTGAAGAACCAACAAGAGATAGAAGATACATGTGCACAAAAATCAATTCTTTGTAATTAGTCGACTTTGGACTTTGGGTAGAGTAGATCCAATTTACATCACACTGCAACAATAAATCACACCAGCACAACCAATCTTCCAAGAGGAACACTTGTTTACAATGCCCCAGAATTTGTGCTTCCTTGTGAGGGAGAAACCAAGGTTTATTCAATGCACTCTGATACCTTCCAGTTCCTTCCTCCCATGTGTATAAATTGTATGAAGCATGCACTGCATTTTAGTCGTGTCAAAGATTGTCAGCTGCACATGTTTTGACAACATTAAATGAAGAAGTACTAAAAATTTTAACAGCAAGTCACCAAAGGCAAAACTTTTGTCACTGAATTAGTGTAGATAATGATAATGGAAAGGGGATTTGTTGTATTTTTTGCTAGAAAGTATTATAATCATAACCAATTTGTTAATTTTGTACCAGTTAACAGACAATAGCCACACCAGCATAAAAGGTTGTCCCAAAGATCAAGTAAGACAAGTGTGGTTGAAGTACAGTAAGTCTTCTTTGCCAACTGATATATGGATGAAAATTTATAAAACCATTTATGGTTATAAATTTTAACTCTCTAATTATATTTGAATATTTTGAATACAGTAGCTGCAATAAAGTTATTGATCGCGTCGCGTAGCGACAGCGATCTATAGTTTCGGCTTGTTTTTTTTTATTATTTTTTCTTCTCGGGTCGACCCCCAGCGTCGCTAGCTGTGGGCCATATCACCCTAATCGGGAACCTGCGCACCGGTAAGTTGCTAGTTATATCACGTGTTGTATTCACTTTGGGCATATTTCGTTTCACCTTCGAACTTCGAAGCAGTAAATAGAATCAATAAAGCGATCAAAATGCTAGCAAGTGCTATCTTTATCTTTACACTCATTACACATACAACTAACTACACACGTCGAGCAGAGTAAGCCTGCACTAAAGGATTTCAAGCAGTTTCGAAATGGGCTGTTGTGTGTTTCTCCTGCTTTCAACATGCGACTATAGTTCGGTATATTGTTGATTTTTATTATTAAGAACATTTACGACACAAAATTTGCAACACGATCTCCAAATGAGATTCGTGATTATCATGAAATGTTAAATTCAAATGAATTTGTGATAACCATGAATGCCATGCATGCGCAGATGACATGGAATTTAAACAGTTGTACGCATTGAAATTTAAAAACCATAGCACATGAGAGCAGGCTAATAAATTAAATATTGTTTACAATTTTAGTGTTTTTTTGATGTGCAAAATTGATTAGTTGGACTCGATAGTAAATATACTTGTGCAGAATGTCGTCACGGTCACGAAAAAGTAAAACTCCGACTACTGAAGAGGCATTACAACGCGTAAAAGATCTTTGTTCGCTACACTCGAATTCGAAGCTGAAAAGGAAAAGGAAGCCTGTTCGGTTTGAAATTAACACCGATCCAAAAACAGGTCTTCGTCATTTTAAGGGAACATATGATCCCTCAAAAGGATCTAGACGCAAAGGTTAGACTCACTGACCAAGTATATATGCTTATAAATGCTTCATAATTCGTCTATTTTCGTCATATATACCATAATTCATCTATTTTCGTCATATACCTTATTATCATAATCTGCGACAAATATTCTTGAAAAGAATGGCATTAATTTTTAAATCATTTTGCTAAGATAAAATAAAAATAATTAAAATATCGCCCATCCAAAAGGGCAATTTCATTCTATTTCGATTACCGTACACGTGTATATTCAGCAATTAATGAGTGTTTTGCACTTGTAAAGTAGATGTGTACATATATTTTCAAGATGCTGCAATATCTGGTGAGTGATCAAGCGACATGTTTGATGACCGTGACTTTAATAATGAGGAAATCCAAGTAAATCAAGGTATTGTGAACATTAACCTTATGGACATTTATCATAGTATGTAAGGTCAATTAATATGATAAGCATGGGTTGATATTTTACCAATATGGTACTGGTATAAACTATTCATGCATTTGTATGGTCAATTCATAGAAAAAAGTCTGGATGATTTGATTGGTTATTGCAAAACCCTTTTGGAATCATTGCCTGTCACAAAACCTGAAGAATCAAATTGGTCTAAGAGGATGACCAATATGCAGGAAGATTGGACAAAGTCAAGAAGTTCACTCTTTAACTGGGTAGTTTCTAATGAAAATCACCACTCAGAAAGATGTTCGTTCTGTTTTGGAAGTGATGCCAATATAAGATGTCATCAATGTGGTCTATCATTCTATATATTAATGTCTGTGATAGTAGATACATTCACAAAATCCTTTCCATGACCGTGAAATATGGAATAGCAGGTGTTTTGAAGCTGTTTCACCTATGGAAAAGGTTGATGAATATAGCAGAATTAGCTCAGGTTGGTAATTACTGCACAGTGCTTGTTCTAGGTTTATTAAATGAGTATAATGAAACTCTACCCAATTCACAATGAATTAAAATATATTTGTTTACAGTACTAATATGCTTTTTAGAGAGATTTCTACTTTTTGGCCCTGCAAATTGTCCTTCATGTGAGAAAGTGGATTCTTTGACATACCATGCCAAAAAAGAGACAATAACTGTTGTAAATACTAATGGTAAGAAGTTTGGTTATATTGGGCCCTTGTGGACCCTTAACTTTAGCATCTACTGTCACTGGTACCTAGCTGATTTGGTAATTGGTCCATCTACCCTAGGGAATTCATTCAGATGCCTTATGCGCTGATGCATACTACTATTCTGCTTAAGGCGGGATGATTTAACTTATCAAAGAAAGAGCATGGGCACTAAATGGATTAATACTTTTCCACCCATGTGTCTAGTTAACCTATTGAGTTCCATTGCGCCCTGATTCACATTACTTATATATATAAATATAAGAAGTAATATTAATTTGGTATATTATGATTGATTTTGAATGATGTATTATTTTTAGGTCGATTCGATTTCAACAAATATACAACAAAATGTGTTAATTGCAGTTTGGTTTGCGAACCGTTATCCAATCTTCAATTGATTTTGCAAAATGGTTATTGGCCTGGCAGTGTGGGATCATCTCTGTCATATATCTTTGACCAAGATTTATTTCGTTTGTGGGACATATTTCAGAAAAGAATGCCAGGAACATCACAGAAAAGTTTTCTGGAGGGATTAGAAGAATTTTCATTGAGCAAAGGAAGGGTGTGTTCTATTTTTAAGCATAATATATTGCATTAACAACTTCAGGGTTCCATACAAAAAAATATCTCAAGCAGAATTAGTAAGACTTGCTAAATGTTAAGTATTCTTAATTATTATTTGTTAGTAGAGATTGGTAAAATAGTGTATCCTTTGATTCTTGATACTGCTAGCTAATTTAATGAAGAATTAACACATTAATACAGCCTACAAAATTTATTTAATACTATTTTTTTCTTTCTTATTTCTTATTAAGAGTGGTATTATCAACCCAACTATATTCTCCATTGCATTCAAAGAGTGGAAGTATTGTCAATTTGAAATAGAATCCTTAAAGGGTATGAATTGGATGGAGTGCCCTTGTTGTGAAAAAGAGCAGCATTCATGCCATGTTGATGGCAATATGAAACTCTATCGTTATAAACATTCTGGCTTGTGAGTATCTTAAATGTAGTTCATCCAATATATGTGTATTTAGGAAATGATGAACAGTTAACCGAAATAAATTAGGATTGTACAAATTAGATGTTGTTTACTATCCAATAAGACAATGTTCATTTTTTGACACAATTGTGTTAACTCAGCGTTTCAGCTCCTATCAAGACTCAATAAACCAGATGAGAGACTATATATTTGTTTTCCACTTACATAGGTCACGGTCCCAGTGCTATTATGGAAATGTTTTTATTGCAGACAACGATGATGTTAAAAAACATCTGCAACAATTGTATCAAGGAGATCTGGTTTGTTGTTACAATATTTGCACATTACAGTTTACAAGTTCCATTATTGAATATATGTATAACCTGTAATTACACCTGACACTGTTTTAAAACAGGGTGTACAAGGTAACAAATGTGGAGAGACAACATGGAAAGCAGCAAGAAACAAGAATTTCAAAAAAGCTAAGCTAGATGAAACAGGGTTGGACATTGCTGGCTGTCGACATTCTGTTGCTCAATTTGCTGTCAACATGTTTCAAGGAGAATTGTATGGCTATGCACATTATATTCTTGCCAAAAAGTTCTTGGAAAAGCCACTAAACTTTTTCTGGCAGGATATAATGTGTAAATTTTGGAACTGGGCACAAAAAGCAGATCCAGCATTTAATGGGTATCAGATCAAACCAGCTCTGTCAGTCATGCATGCCAAAGCACATAACTGGACATGTCAGGTACAACATACATATTTGCTGTAAATTTGCAAATCATCAATAGCAATATACTAGCAACATGCTAAAGTTATTTAAAAACAACAATTATTCCTCTAATTTAACTATGTTTTTTATGATATTTGAAATATATTTATTTTCTCCATCCTCTATGTTTAGGTGATTTGGGGAGGCAGATGGCAACAAGGGGCTGCATGTGCCACTGGAGAGGAAGTAGAGCAAATCAACTCCTATTTTTCCAGGCTTGGTAATACTACAAAATATATGCTGCCAGAAGGTGAGCACATGGTCATGGATGTATGATTTTGTATCTTGAAGAAATGATAGGGAAATCAATAGACAATACAATACCAGATTTGATGGAAAATTTATTTGGAAAATGTATTTTAACTTTCTGAAGTATTGAATAAATAAATTCAATACATGTAATTTTGTTTTCACTCTTGCTGTAGGTCGGGATGAAATGTTGACTGAATGCGCAAGGGCATGGAACAAGCGTAAGATAAACAGCCTGGTTCAATACCTATGTAAACGATACTATCGCGTGAGTATTGCATATACGTTTACTGTATGAGGTTTTATGTTTTTTGTCAACAATTCTATACCAAGTAATTAAATAACTCGAAGAATGTTTTGGGAGTTATTTTATATGATATTTTAATATTGTTTTTTAATAGGCTGTTGAAATGTCAAAGCATTCATTACAAAAGTTGGATGAATCAGTCGATGACCTGTCTTTAGGTAAAGCAGAAATAAAGTGCTCAGATTGGAAATCAGAAGTTCAGAATGTTGCCAAAGGTATAATAATAATATTTACTCGGTACAAGCTTTGTAGACTTTATAGCTACATGTAAATATTTTAGAGATGCGTCAGTATTGTTACTATTTAGCTACACATTGCCATTTCTTGGCATTTCTTGCCAACTTGGCATATGGAAGACTGTCAATTTTTCAAATCTATCTGTGATATTGTGTATTGAAGATTTCCCCGTTCTGACGTGTTTAAACTGTAATGGAAGAATAAAACGTCGTTCTTTTGACTTCTTAGCGGAGGAGTTAATAAGTGGAAGGAAAACTGAAATGACTGCTCAAGAGCAATATTTTCTATTTTCTGAGCACTTACGTCAAATGCAGCTTTTAGAAAATCTTGAATGCTCTTCAGCGCCTGTCGTGGGTGCTGTTCTAACCTACCAGAACATGTACAGTTCTCACATAAAGAAATTTAAAGACGTACCTGCTATCGAAAAGAGATTGAAAGATTTAGAGAGTGATTTTGAGGAATTTGACAGACCAAGTGTCATAGAAGAGGGAAAACGTTTGTTAGTTCAGAGAAGTCTTAACGTTCTTCAAACGAAAATTGAAATGGTCTATTTCTCTATTGTAAAAAGGACGTCTATTTCGAAACTTGTCAATTAAGTATGAAGTTTAAAACATTTGGCATAATTGAGCTGTAAAACGTCTATACCTCTATCGTATTTTAAGCATCAATTGTATTTTAATATTTAGATACTTCAAAACAAAGAGCAAAGTTGAGGCGGAAAACTGTAGCTGACAAGGAGCAGATGAAAAATTTGGTTGAACAGTACTCTGCGCTCTATGACGGTAACAAACCTATTGAGTTCGCCGCTGTATTAGCTGGGAAGTTTCCTTGGATACAAGAAAACAAAAGCGTTTCAGGTACTAATGCTTTAATATATTTTGCTCTATCATGCTCTAATTAATATATTTTTGCAAATCTAAAATGCAATTAATTTATGTCAAAATATTTATTTCTTTAAGACATACCTGTACGTGTGAAAGCGATGGTGGTTGAAAATTACTTCATCTCCGAAAGATGGAAAGAAGAGATTGAGTTGGTGAAGACTGAGATGGAATGTTTCCTGGCGTATTATTCGAAGCACGTTTTGCCGAAACTTCTCGACGAGATAACAGCAATTAGTAACTTGTCTGGTAAGTACAGTATACAGAAATGTTACTTATGTCTGTTAAATTATCGGTAATATAAATTGAAACCATTTGGTTTTTATATAGATAATGATAATGCGATGGATATTGGCGATCGTTCGCCCAAAGCTAGTAACGAAAGAAGTGATATCACTGAAGATGAAGAGGTAGATATTTCAAATCCGTTAATTAATCCTTGACTGTAACTATAGTGTTAAAATTTTAATATGGTTGTGTTGGTAATTTCTCTTTTAGTTTGTGCAGTATAAAGTGAAGAATGCTTCTCATTCGTACCTTTGCGGCTTGCAAGCATTGAAAAAGAAAGGTTTAGAGTATTGCATTAAACAACTAAATATGGGTGTCGAGCATTTTAGTAGAATTACGGCTGGAGACTATTCGAAAGTACAAGAATGCTTTCATGGTTTTCCGTGGTCCTTAAGCGAAGGTGATTCGGGTATGATTGAAGAGGATATTTCCGATAATGATTTTGATGGCAATGAAGAAGATGACGAGAACGACAATGATGAGTACAGCGGTGATGAAGACGGCGATAATATACGTAAAGGACGATTATTTGTACAAAGCATTTAGAATTTGTGTAAAATATTGCATGCCAATATAATAAAATATTAATTATGTCACTATGTCATAGTTCCCCTACATTGATCATTAGAAATCGCTTGTTATAATAGTTGAGCATACCGAAAAAGATGTACATTTAATAACTGCAATGCATTGCGGTGAGAAATCGTTTGGAAAAGCAAATTGACATATTTCGAAGGACATGCATCAAACAGGAGGTTATTTCCCTTTTTGTGATAAACTTCTACGTCCTTAAGTGCTTTTCTTACCATCTTTTTTCTGTCATTTATTCTTGATGTCTGGAATGCATATAGCTATATGCACATGTAGCCATCTTTTTCCCTATGGTCAATTGAATAAACTTTTAATCTCCATGTGTACATGGGAGCTGTATTAATAAATATCTAAATTATATTATAGGATTAACACAATATTCAAAATAGATTATCTGTAAAAATTGAAAATGAGATCATATTTAAAAGAGTACAAGAGGGTTGTAGCAGTTTTATACTATATCCGTGAAAATACTCCCAAAAATTGAAAATGAGATCATATTTAAAAGAGTACAAGAGGGTTGTAGCAGTTTTATACTATATCCGTGAAAATACTCCCAAAAATTGAAAATGAGATCATATTTAGAACAGTACAAGAGGGTTGTAGCGTTTTATACTATATCCGTGAAAATACTCCCAAAAATTGAAAATGAGATCATATTTAGAAGAGTACAAGAGGGTTGTAGCAGTTTTATACTATATCCGTGAAAATACTCCCAAAAATTGAAAATGAGATCATATTTAGAAGTACAAGAGGGTTGTAGCAGTTTTATACTATATCCGTGAAAATACTCCCAAAAATTGAAAATGAGATCATATTTAGAACAGTACAAGAGGGTTGTAGCAGTTTTATACTATATCCGTGAAAATACTCCCAAAAATTGAAAATGAGATCATATTTAGAAGAGTACAAGAGGGTTGTAGCAGTTTTATACTATATCCGTGAAAATACTCCCAAAAATTGAAAATGAGATCATATTTAGAACAGTACAAGAGGGTTGTAGCAGTTTTATACTATATCCGTGAAAATACTCCCAAAAATTGAAAATGAGATCATATTTAGAACAGTACAAGAGGGTTGTAGCAGTTTTATACTATATCCGTGAAAATACTCCCAAAAATTGAAAATAAGATCATATTTAGAAGAGTACAAGAGGGTTGTAGCAGTTTTATAACTATATCCGTGAAAATACTCCCAAAATTGTTTCCGCCTTATTTAAAAATACCGACAAAATTGAAAATGAGATCTGACACACCCGAGTCCGCGACCTACTTTTGCGCGGGAAACCTGAAAGCTGCATTTGCCAATTGGCGTTCAAACATTGAAATCGTCGAGGTTGAAATATTTTATAAGAGTTTTCATTAGTATTTGAAAGAACCATTCAAGTCTACTAATTTTGCATGGGGCGATATAGAAAATCGTTTCCTTCCAAGGTAAACTTTTTATGAATATTCATATATTTATTAAAATATGATATATAGATCTTTCTGGGGAGTGCTGCGCTATATAAAATGTATTGGTATTAAAAATGGTGGTTGAATGGGGACCATATAAATTAAATTTAGGGATTCAGTATACTGTTTATGTGACGACGATCGGCTATATTATGGCAGTCATGCATGAATTTTGTTATCAACGGTGGAGTGCCCTGTTGTGGGAGTCATCATCAATAACAACTTTATAAGATTCCAAATATGAACTATATATCAAAGAGTCATTGTAGTTGCTTCACACATATTTAAATAAATTTTATTGTGTGAAATATGTAATTGCTTCACACATATTTAAATAAAATTTATTTAAATATGTGTGAAGCAATTACAATGACTCTGTGGTATATAGTTCATATTTGGAGTCATATAAAGTTTTTATTCTCGAGTAAAGGATTTTCGATTTGAATATTGTTCAAATTGTTGACCAATTATTTTCTCAATTTCCCCCTCTCACCAGGGAACAGAGTTAATTGATAGAGAAATCCTGACAGGCAGGGCTGGTTGTTTCGAAAATAATTAAAGTGTGAAAAGCCAATTGATGATTACAAGTTACCTAAAATACACCATTAGATATTTATAGTACGGGTGAATGCAAATTATATAGTTTAGCTGGGCCATTATAGTGAACCAGGGTGTTTTTGGTATTAAACTTCTTTAACTTCCTTTAATTAAGTCAGTACTTCACTTGTTAGCTGTACTTACATTACAATTAATACAGATATAAAATAATTAATTATTAAGGGAAGTTAAATTGCAACTCAATAGGTAACTTGCAACGAATTAAAGTTTATAAGTTCACGGCAACCAGGTATATCATCCATAACAATTATCGCTACTCTGGTTTAAATGAAAGTAATCACCACACAAAGATTAAACTTTCATGACCCAGTAACTTGCAAATATTTGACAACAGGTTAGTTCATAAAAAATGCCAATCCAGAGATAGATTTATTGGGTACCCATTTATTTATTTTTATGGTTTGTTTAGGAAAAAAGTGGAACTTGCTGGTTAAAATCATGCTCAAATCATGGTAAATTTTACAAACGGTTAGATAACCATATTAGTTTGAGACATAGAGGGACCACTTTTACAGAGGCAAAAAGAATACCAAATGAATGTCAAAATAGAATGAAGAAAATAAAGAAGTATGACCACCCACCTCTACAAATAGACCTATCCTACATGTGTAACACTGTTAATGATAGTACCTGTGAGTCCTCTGCCATATTAAACACAGACAAAAATAGAGCAAAGAGGTGCCTGTTTGAAGATTCTTTGACACAGAAGAAAAATATTTCAAAGAAGTCCATATTTGTAAAATCACAGAGTCGGAGAGCGCATATTACAAGTTCAAAGACACCAAGTACACCACACTTCATGACCCGTATTAGCAGAACATGCATGCCTGCAGCTAAATTACTTGAATTACCAGAACTTGAATCCATTCGGTTTATAGTTCACAACACAACATCATATGCTGTACGCTCCTTGTTGTTTTTCGTTAATGAAAGGGGTAAATTGGTCGAGGACTACCATAATTCACTTTTATGCAGACAAGTCTTTGGACCAGTTTCTCTGTCTTTTCTGGAAAAAGTTTGGCAACACCGTATTGTGATAATGAGTTATTACCGTAAATTGGGAATGTTCCCAAACATTGGAAGAAGAGTTGACAAATGCTTGGCATGTAAGAAAAAAAATAGAAAATGTGAATGCCCATGTTTGGATGAGTCTGTTTTCCTCTTCTGTAAACAATCCTGCAATGTGGATACATTTGAATGTCAAAAATGTAAAAATTGGCCAATTCTATCGCACATTTGCTATGACTTCTTTTTCTGCCAAAAATGCCATGAAATCTATAAGGAAGCTCCAGCTTACATGAAACCATCAACATATTGTATATAATATTAACGTGACTCTCTATCTCTCTATAAAAAAGACCGTTTATTAAATAAGTGTTGTAATTAACTGCAAATCCGCCATTTTTGGGGACCATTTTTATAACCGTAAAAGATCTAAGAGATAATATACCTTTTGCATTATAGACTAGTTCTCTATGAATGTATGAAAATGCAATTAAATTATGGAAATTCCAAATTTGGTTGCGAATTGTAAAATGCGGAAAGTATGGCTTTGCAAAGTTTTGCTACCAATTTTATTTTTAGTACGCTTTTTTCAGCTGTGGTAATTTGATTGCATTTTCATGCATAGATCAAAAAGTAGTCTATAATGCAATAGGTCTATTGGTGGTTAACACTAGTATTACACTCCATTGCTGTCTGTGAACACGAATATTTGAATATCAGCTCCCTCTTATTATTTATATTCCGCCGTCCCTGTATAAGATTATACATAGAAAGTTCAATTTTTGCGCTCTCTAGTCTCTTCCCAGCCTGTACTAGCAAAAAAATGCCCAGGGCCAAAACAAGACGCGATAATTGGGGAGGTGCATATTAATAAAAAAGGTGGCGTGATAATATCGAATTGGCATTCTTTTTTTTGTTAATTAGTTCGGTTAATTGGAAAAAGATAAGTGTTTGGCCATTCATATAGCTGCCCTACGGCAAGGCTGTTTTCTCCATATTTATCTGGATAAAATGATGTCCTGGTTTTTGCAGTCAGTGCTAAAAATGATATTTTGGACGAATCGTCTCTTATGGAACAAGAATGAAGTTCCCTTCCAGGAAATACAGTCGCATGTCCAAAGAGCTCTGTTTTCCCATTCTCTTTTCCGACGACAAGAACATTGTCTCCTACATAATAATTTTTAGAATAAAAAATTAGAAATTCCTTTCGAAAAAAAGGATGAGCAATCATGTTTCCTAGAAGGAAAGCTTACCATGTTTTGGAATGTAACCTTCATTTGGAACTGATAGTTTTAAGCATCTTTTTGAAGGTTGTTGTTGTTGTTGATGCTGTTGTTGTTTTGGTTGCTGCTGCTGTTGTTTAGGATGTTGTTGTTGTTGCTGCTGTTGTTTCTCTTGTTGCTGCTGCTGTTGTTGTTCTTTTGCTTGTTGGTCTTGTTGTTGTTGCTGCTGCTGTTGTTCTTCTACTTGTTGGTGCTGTTGTTCATGATGCTGTTGTTTTTTTTGTTGCTGCTGCTGCTGTTGTTGAGGATGTTGTTGTTGCTGTTGCTGATGTTGTTTCTCTTGATGCTGCTGTTGTTCTTTTGCTTGCTGGTTTTGTTGTTGTTGCTGCTGCTGTTGTTTTTGCAGCTGTTGTTGTTGCTGCTGCTGCTGTTCTTCTTCTTGCTGTTGCTTTTGTTTGTTTCTTTGCACTAAATTAAGAGACAAGTATGATATAATAATTTTCTTGTATGATTGCATGGCGACTTTAGTAATTATAATAACTTGTAGGTACACCACTGTCTTCTTAAATGGGATATGTTAAATAAATGGTAAAACGATAAATTTGTAAATGTTTTTCCACCGCATGTCCCCACCCCCGCAAAGTTATTAGAGAGAGAGATGAAACTCTATGAGAGTTATTAGAGAGAGAGAGATTTTTAGACCCAACATTTTCTTTCCTTCCTGGGTTACTTACGTGGTGTACCTACAAGTTATTATAATTAATAAGTATGATATACTCTATCAATAAAATTGTGACAGTGCACTATGCAAATTGAACTATGCAAATTTAACCGATATTGCAATGGCACAATCAACTTATCCCTGCCTCAACACACGGACATACATAGGTGTATAATATATTGTATATTATATATAATATATTATATATATATTAATATATTAATATAATATATTGAAGTTCATATCTTCAATAGGATTCTATTATTACCTAACACGATTTAATAAACATTGTTACCAAGGCTGGTAAACTGCATGAAATAAATACATGTTATTTTTTATTAGGGTTTTAATTTCACATTTTACCTGTCATAAATCGCTCAAAAAGTGCCACAATGGCATGTCCTTCTTCAGATCGATCTGAAGAGGTTCTCCCAATAAACATCTCTGCCAATCCTTCTGTTCCATAGGTAGAGATGGTGTAACCCAGCCCATGCTTCTTGTGGGTAAGAATGACAATATCACACTGATGCCGTTCGTGTAATATACGTGCCTTGAAAGAGACGAACAATTTGAAGTATTAACTTTATATTTCAGAAATATAATGACTTAATTTTTATATTTTTACATCCTCAAACATTTCTTTCAGCTTACCCGTGCATGCATCATGTCTTTTTGATCCGTTGGATTTGTTTTCCCTTTCTTCTTAATTTTTTCAGCACTAATCTTTATTTTTTTTCTAAAAACATTACCACATTCCAAACATGTTCTCTTTGCTACAGGTTGTGAGACACCACATTCAGAGCATATCTAAAATTAAATTTAAAATTTCTCTGCATCAGTTTACTGTAAGTTTATATGACGTGGGTTTCTGGGACATCTGATTTATAGCATGGGTTCTCACACATCTAACTTAATACTTAATGCTCTTAGCAAGATCTAAAATAAGCTATTCATATTATATCTGCTCTCTTGCAGGGTTGTTATTGATTGGTGTTCCCATTGTTAAATGGGCATGTATTACTATTCTCTGGGTATATGTTAATTAGTGTAAGGAAAACAAGAAGAATACAATTAAACCTTCTTTGAGAGGGGTCTGTTTGCTGTTCTTTTACCTTTATCTATAAAAAAATAACAAACAAAGTCCAACTCCTACTTTTCAAACATTCATATACTCTACTCTTTTTCCATATACAGAACATTCAAACTAGAACAAAGACAGCCAGCCAACTATTACGGCACACAAATGTTTAGGAGTCAAGCAGAGCATTCAAATAGGTTAGGTACCTGTTAGTCTAGCTGCAACACATAAAAATTTGCATAACTTGTAGCAACAAGTTTTTTGTAACAGATTTGTTACAAGGTTGTTACAATCTTGATGACACACATTGTGATAATTTGAATATGTGAACAATGAGAGCAATTGCTTCACTGAGTTGTACATTTTCAATTTCTGTGATTACAGTTGGAATTTTTAAACAACAAAATCCTAAGTTTTCAAAGGAGGGAACTGGAACACTGTATTTCAAGTAAACTTTGGATTTAACAATGCAAAGTTGCAACTGTGATCACAAAAACGTTGACATGTAAACCGGGCATTAAAATGAATACAATCACCCTGGGGCCAGTTGTATCAAGCCCGTTTAGCTTAAATTACACTCTTACATCTCTCTTGAATGAGTCAACTTGAATATTATGCATTGAATATGTAGTTGTAAACAGTATCTTTGTATTAAGGTAAAAAAACATTTAGTTTGCTTGCTGCTATAATATCCCCGGTTTAAGCTAAACGCGATGATACACAATTTTCACAAGACAAGAATTATAACTTTGCTAGCTAGACAAACTAATTAATAACTAAATCTTTCTGCCTCGCTCGCTAGCTTGTACGCTAACTCGCTTCTGCCGAAGTAATTCATTGTTAAGGACTGTTAGTCCTTCAAACATTTAATCCTGTAAAGCTTAGAAGTTAGAATTTTCCTCATTTGCCTTTAATAATAAAGCGGACTTTTATAGTTCGCTCACTCCTCTTTAATAGTTAATAAACGCCGCCGTTCCTCACAATATCGTATAGTCAATTATTGATATTGACTACGAGATGATTACAAAATTTGGCGACAAGTCTATAAATTTCTTATGAATTATTCATGTATCTACCACTGGATGAGTCGCTGGAACATTCCGCCATGTTTGCTCACAGTTGCGCAGTTCTGTCTGCGTACAACTGTTTAAATTCGATGTCATCTGCGCATGCATGGCATTCATGGTTATCACGAATTCATTTGAATTTAACATTTCATGATAATCACGAATCTCATTTGGAGATCGTGTTGAAATTTGCATAGTTGGGCTGGCTACGCCGCTGTGAACGACGCGATCATATAATGCCTAGTAGGCGTCTTGTTTAAATTAATTCCTTTAAGGACAAAATTGCAATCTTTGTATTATTTATTTACTAAAGTGAAGGATCAAAACCATATTTTAGTTTCTGTGAAACTTTGCGGGCGAACTACAGGGTGTATCAAAAAAAAGGAGACCTTTAGAAATCAAGCTATTGTTAAAATTTGAATGCCTTTTCAATTGCATTTGCACATATGCTGAACCGGGAATGATTATTAAAATAACTTTCATCAAAAAATATTCAAATGACTAAGCACACTACCAGAACAAAAATGGTTCAACTGACTTCGGAGCAAAGAGTTTTTGTAGTCTTAACTTATACCCAGCCTGCCGTCATCAGAAAAGCGGTTCGCGATATGCACAAGCGTACGGTAGTTTGTGTTGAGAGAAGTGGAGGCCACGTTGGAGGTCATGGTCCATGACATTCAGTTCTTTTGATGTTCAATTTATCAGTAATTTTCAATCCGGATCGAAATGTCAAGTGAATCTGTGTCAGATCAAGTTGTAATTCATTCCTGACTCATGTAAACATTTTAATAGGCAGAGTTTGTAAAATGGGATGCTGAGCCATTCCGGATTCAAAGTCAATTCTAACTCATGTGAACAGCCCTAATGCTCGCACGCAGTGTTAAAAATTAATGAACAAATGATTTGTTCATGTTTTGAAGGAACAGCTAAAGCAATTTACCACGCATACTGTTATTGCTTTTGTGCTTAGTCGTTTGTTCTTAGTCATTTGAATATCTTTGGGTCATTATTTTTCCTTATGCTATTAAAGTTATTTTCAAATTCCCAGGAGCAGACAATCTTGTGTACAAACGTCAATTCATTTTCTAAAGGTCTCCTTTTTCTAATGTATGCATGCATGCCATCAATATTTCACGCACTACGGTTTAGCATATGTGCAAATGCAATTGAAAAAGCATTCAAATTTTAACAATAGCTTGATTTCTAAAGGTCTCCTTTTTTTTTATACACCCTGTAGATATGTTTTTATAGCGATTTTATGTGCCTGGTTAGAAGATCATTTTGCAATCATTTTTTATTTTCTTATTTAACAATTCTTAGGCCTTTTTGTCTAGTTCATAGAAAAGAATTGATATGAAGAATATGTTGTTCCTGTGAATTTTACGACATTGCTCCTCTGTGGTAAATAGTTTTGTTTAAAATTTTTCCCCGGAAAACCCTATTTTTTAGAACATTGCAAATGCGCATGAGCTATCAGGCCTTGATCAATATTCACATTTCACGATGGAAAACACAAGAAGCGACAGAGGGTTGCTTCTAGCATTTGTGTCGCGAAAATGGAGTAAATTCTTCTGATTCTACGCAATTTATAGATTTGTGTTATGCATTACGAGCATTCAGTAGGACACAGATATAATTTGGAATTTCAGAGAGCTGGGAAGAAACAATGGTGTGGTTGTTTATATATATATAGACACCTATTATGTGAACTATGAAGCCTGGACATCCGATGCAGTACGGAAATAAATTTGGCAGTGTACGGGCAAGCTCAGCATTTATTATACCGAGCAAAAAAAATTTGTAAGCAACTATTGTTAAAGAGGATCGTCGATTTAGTGATAATAAGGTTTAATCAAAGTTATAGCAAAGAACTGGCAATTTTGAAGCAACTGAAAAAATCACTATCCGATGGATAGCGCTATCCCCTCATAATGTATTTATTAGGAACCGTAGTAATTTAAAGGAATTTTTTCCTGGAGAAGGCGATTTTTCCTGACTTGTCGTAATGAAAATGTGCGAGAAGACGCGCGAATGTTTACACCATACCAAATTGCTTCCAGAGTGGTCAAATTTTGTAGCTATTAAATTTCACTGTCATAGATCGAAATAAATCTACAAAATCTATCAAACTAATAAGTATTTGCTACTATTACTAACTGTTGCTCCCTAGAAGTAAACATGACACGTGAATCTGGCATAGTGTATAACAGGACCTTAAAGAATAGAGGTTGCGCACATTGTCAACAATTACTATATAACACACTGCTATAAATATTTAATATGATTGACTTGGTCCCTACAAGGATTGGATTGTCAGACCTACACTGGTTTACTGTGGGTTGGCTATTTTTAGCCTTTGTGTTGTAGTAAAACTAAAAATAGAATACATTTCAAGTCAAAGTTTTGATGACAGGTTGGGTAGTTTTGAAAATGTGTAAAGTCCACTCTTATTACAAGCTGTATATATGCTTATATGCTACAAATAGTATTCATTGTTGTCATAGGACAATGTGCCATGCCATGCGGTAGGGGCCTGGGCCAAAAGTAAATAGTATAAAAGATGGCGTCTTGTCCCCAAGCCGGCGCGAAGCGCTGTGCGAGGGTACTAATTCCGCTGGGAGATTTATTACACCCGGGTATTGTGACAGAACATAGCGGAATCCAAAGTTGCTCAAATTCTATGTCGTGGACCGTGGACGTTCAATGGTCATGGTACTTGTGCGCATGCGCGGAATGTAAGCAAGTAAAGTACTGGTAATTAGTAACTCGCTGATTGGCTAAGATGAACAGTTTGGATTAAAACTAAAACGTCAGAGATTTAACTGTCTTTAAAAAATTTTTTTAAAAAAGACATTTCGTATCAAATCAACTCTGCTGAATACAGCATTTTTAAAAGAAAAAAACAAACACTCTTAACAAACGAGAAAATTTTCATTTGGAAGATGGCGAATAGGGTAAGTGAAAAGCTAAAAGATGGGAAAAAAGATGCAGGTAATGATGATGAAAGGCTGGCAAGAAGAAGGATAAACAACCAAGCCCTGTTGGATGCAGAAACGCCAGAGGAAAAGCAGTGTCGGTTAGAAAAGCAAAGGGCTGCGTACAAGAGAAGTATTGAGGTAAGTACAAGCGATAAAAGAGGAAAACAGAAAGAAAAAAGACGACAAAAATCTCATCAGGAAACCCCGAAACAAAAGGAATGTCGTTTAGCGAAACGCAGGGCCGCTTATAAACGCAGGACCGAAGCAAATACTAGCGAAGAAATTGAGACGAAAAGAGGAAAAGAACGGCAACATTTACAACAACAAACGCCAGAGCAAAGAGAAAGTCGTTTGGCAAAACGACGAGATGCCTATAAACGGAGTAGTGAAGCAAGTACAAGCAAGGAAATTGAGATGCAAAGAGGGAAAGAACGGCAACTTTTACAACAACAAACGCCAGAGCAAAGAGAAAGTTGTTTGGCAAAGCGTAGGGCTGCTTATAAACGGAGAAAGGAAGCAAGTACAAGTGAAGCAAGTGAGATGCAAAGGGAAGAAAAAAGAGCAAATGCAAGAGAGAGAAGGCAACATTAAAGTGTCCAAAAACGAGTAGAAAGACTTGAGAATATGAGGAAACATTCGAAAAAATCATACGAGACAAGGTCGAAACCTCAGGAGATACAGTCAGAAAACAATCGGGTAAGAATGTGTGATGAAGAAAGTACAAATGCTGTAAGTAGCTGTAGTTCAGACCAATATTTGCCTGAAGGTGGTTGGCAAAATGTTGACAACCCCTTGCATGAGCAGGAGTTTGTACGAAATGAAATGCACAGTTTTCATTTAGATCAAGAGCATTTAGAGCATCGGCAGTGCACAATTTGTAAAGAGACTTGGCCGACAAAGCAAAACTTGGCGGCAGATCCTTATGTTTGTTACCGGTGTCAAAGAGACAAGAAGTCACCAAAGAATCTCAGCGCCGGCAATGACATGGACCCAGGTACTGTTCCAGAGCAACCGAGAGGCCTGACACAGGCAGAGGAAACGCCGATTTCAAGGGTTCGCCCCATCATGCAAGTCTACAGAAAACACGGTGGGCAAAGGGGCTACAAAGGTCATGTGCTAAACTTACCACAGGATATTCAAAGTTTTTTGAATAGGTTGCCTGCACAAGTGGCTGACTTGCCTGTTATGATTGTGCGAAGGCAGGGTGCTGATGAAACACATAAAGATTTTACAGTTCGTCGACACAGGGTGCTTGAAGCTATATTGTGGTTGAAAACAAACAATCCATTTTTCAAAGATATTGAGATTGACAGGGATATTATCCAAAGTCTACCTGAAAATGGTGTCCCTGAAGAGCTAAGGTATATTTTTGATGACAATGAACTTCCAGTTCATGTTGAAAATGAGGGCCCCCCACAAGAACCTGTAATGAGTGCTAATGCAACAGTTGAAGAATTAGTTTTAGGAAATGGCAGTACATCATTTATTCCTATGCGGCAAAGACAAAGAAAGGATGGTGCAGCTATTCAAGATGCAGTGAATGAGGTTGACCCTTTGGACTGGCCCTCAACTGAAGGTAATGCTGTTAATGAGTTTAAAACAGATGGTTTGGCAAGCATGGCATTTCCCACACTATTTCCCCATGGGAAAGGTGACCCAACAAACAGAGTCAAACAACATGAGGTAAGTTTGGCAGAGGCATTCAAACACCTGATGAAGTTTGCAGAGAGGCTGCCAAATGGTAAGTTTGAATGGAGGTTTGCCTCACATCCCCGGTTTCCATACTGGGCATTGAATATGAAGCAGAGACATCAGTTGTTGTCACAAGCTAACATTTACTTGCGGCAACATCCAGCAGATGCTAACATGACTATGGAGGAGCTGAAGACAATGGTAAACTCGATGAGTGCAAATCAAATGGTAAATCGTTTGCAACGTTATGTTTCAAAAATTCAAGGAACAAATCAGTATTGGTATCAGAGACTACAAGAACTCTTGGCCCTGATTGAACAAAAAGTTTGCCCTACCTTTTTCTTTACTTTTAGTGCAGCTGATAGCCATTGGCCAGACTTGCAAAGACTGTTGCAAAGTAATGAGGGTGCATCAAGAACAGAAAGAGCACAAGCAGTGATAGACAATCCACACATGACAGATTGGTTCTTCATGCAAAGGCTACAGGAGTTTATCAAACATTGGCTTCAAGGTGTCTTGGGTGCTGAATGGTTTTGGTATAGGTTTGAATATCAGGCCAGAGGTAGTATACATGCTCATGGATGTGCTAAATTAAAGAATGACCCAGATATCCGGTTATTACGTAAACGTGCATGTCAAGCAGTGCTTGAGAAAGAGAAAGAAAATGAAATGTCCCTGACGATTTTGAATTCTCTTGCCAGGATATTGTCAGAGAGGGTCAAGATGCGGAAAGAAAGCTAATCAGGTGAATATTTAAATTGTATGTTTAAATTACACTCACATGCATATAAATTGCACAGATTGTGTCCAAGACTTTTTCCCAGACTTTTAGCCTACTGTATATATTTAATAGTTTAAATAGCGTACTAATAATACAAATGCCACAATGTTGCAAATATCTAAAAATACAGCTTCCACATACATTCACAAAAAAAACAAAATTCCGTATATTTTCTTCAGGAATTGCTAATTCCTATTGTTAAGGAATTGGGAGTGTAAACAGCAATTATGAAAAAAATATACAAATTAGGTATTAACCAATTTGTAACTTTTTATCCCTTTTACTGGCTTGTGACCACAGTCAATGAAGATCTGCCTGATGAGAACTGGAGAGTACCAGATCCACACCCTTCTGCTGTGAAAGCCACATCAGTTGATAATCGTGAATAATCGTGACGACGATTATCACAGGTTAGTAAATTCAGCAGAGAGGCACACAAGATGCAGTCCAGCCTACTGCCTGAAAAAGAAGAGGTTGACCTCCTGCAGAGTGCAGATTTGGGTTCAAAACCATTACAAGAGGAGACTGCGCTGATTTATGAGTTCAAGGTGAGAAAAAAAATCTGTACACTCAGAGTTGCAAACCAAGAGAAACGATGAAAGATTGAATTCGCACGACAGGGTCATGCTTGAAAATTGGCGGGCCAATGTGGATTTACAGGTAATTGTGGATGAAAAGGCATGTGCAAGATATATGGCCAAGTATGCAGCAAAAGGAGAACCACGATCAAAATCGGCTTCTGATATACTGAAGTTGTCTGTGTCTTCATTACAGAATGATGACCAAGTGTCTTCTGCAATCAAGAAAGCAATGATCCAAGTTGCTGGTGATAGAGACATGGCTGCTCAGGAGACTGCCCATACGTTACTCACTTTGCCTTTGGTAGGCTGTACATATAGTTTTGTTACTGTTTCTTTAGAAAACAGCAGAAAAGTGATCTTGATGCAGAAATCCACAAGAGGAAGTACTTCAGAATTCTGTTCTTCAAGATTATGAGAGCGACAAAAGTGGAGAGTAGGTACAAGGGGTTATCTCAGTTGAATTTGATGCAGTATGCATCTCAGTTCACAAAAGTCAGAGGTGAGTTGACAAAACGAGTGAATCCTTACATTGTCAGGACATTTCCAAAGGTTACAGCCAATCCTGGCAGCCCTACCTTTGGAAATACTGCAAGTATCAACTCATTAAGTTTAAACCATGGGAAGTAAGTCATCAAATGCATGGGATATGGAGGAAACTGATGATATGTTTATTAACACATATGCTTCATTTCTTCAGACAGATTTTGCTAGAGACAATGTATTTGGGCATTCTATTGAAACAGAATGGTCCATGCTGCACAGACAGATGAAACATATGGAACTGATGAAACAGTGATGAAAGCGATGACGAACAGGATCAACCTAATGAGGAGCAAATGAGGACTGGATGTTGTTATGTAGACTCAACCAACATTATGAGGATGCAGGAAATCAAATGGCAAATAATGAGGCAGTGGATTGGTTCGAAGCAGCAAGAGCTGTGCCGGGGATTTATTGAGAGAATCTCCTGGATGGATTTTAAACAGAGAAGGGATGCAGAGGAGCAAGGTATGCATATCAAACAGGTGACCAACAAGTGGTGGTTGACCCAGGGACTTGAATGACAAACAGCGACTGGCATTTGACATTATCACTGCATCCATGGCTAATGATGAATGTAACCACTCGTATGATTGTAAGTGGTACTGCTGGCACAGGTAAGACATATTTAATTAGTGCCCTAAAGCAGGTATTGCAAGATCAATGTATTGTCACAGCAACCACTGGGATTGCAGCATTCAGTATTGGTGGCCAAACGTTGCATTCTGCTGCTCAACTTCCAATTCGGAATACAGGATTACAGGGCGATTCCTTACAGAGATTGCAACTCAGATTGGAAGGTAAGAGTTTCTCATTATTGATGAAATGTCAATGATTGGACATAAGATGCTTTCATGGCTTGACAACAGACTACGTGCAGGTACAGGAAAAGAGATGTCCCATTTGGTGGCATGTCGATTATTAATGGGGGATTTTGGCCAGTTACCTCCTGTAGGCGATAAACCAATGTACATGCAGGTAATGGTTCCATAATCAGTGACCATGGTCAGAGTATGTATTTAACATATGATCATGTAGTCATTTTAGAGCAGGTCATGCGACAGATTGGTGAAGACCCAGAAGAAGTTGCATTCAGGGCGCTATTGATGAGAATGAGAGATGGACAAGTTACCGAGATGGACTGGAAACTATTCATAGAGCACTCCAGACCTAACGTTCAATGGATCGATTTATGATGCTATCCGGCTGTACTTTGATAAAAAAAGTGTGCAGAATATAACTACGAGAAGTTGCTAGAGATTGGACAACCATTGGTAAAATTCAAGCAAGGCATTCAGGTGGGGTGCAAGTGGGCAAATCTGATGAAGCAGGTGGTTTGGAAGCAATCCTCTTTTTGTCAACCAAAGCAGAGGTGATGCTGACATGTAATTTGTGGGCAGAAGTTGGTCTTTGCAATGGCTCTTTTGGAACTGTTGAGCAATTTTGGTTTGCAGAGAATATGGGTCCACCAAATCTACCAATTGCAGTACTGGTCCATTTTCCGGCATATTCTGGTCCTGCATTTTTACAAGAATGTTCAAAGTGTATACCTGTGCCTCCAAGACTGTTTGAGTGGATGGCTGATGGCAAGTATTTGTCAAGACAACAATTGCCCTTGCGGCTGAGGTATGCCATGATAATACACAAGTCCCAAGGACAAACACTAACCAAGGCTGTAGTTGATTTAGGTAAAGGGGAGAGAGTTGCTGGCTGCACGTTTGTGGCAACATCCAGGGTAAGATCGATTCATGATATTGTGTTTGAACCTATGACATTTGATCGTTTGAAAGCCATTGGTAGGAATAAAAGTTTGAAGACTCAACAAGAAGCAGAACGACGACTTTGTGTGCTTGCAGAAGAGACTAAACAGAGGCATAAGCATTGAATATATGCATATAAGGATATGGATTGTATTGTAAGTTGTTATATCCTTTTGTTTAATGATACTGGGCACCAATGTGCTTTCGAGGAAATCATAGTCGCCTGCTACTAGACACAATTTTAGAAGTGAAGTTTGTATGTCTTATTACAACTTTGCCGCTATAATTTTGTTTTTGAGGATGGCAATGTACTGTACATGTGTCATATTGCTTGTTACTAGACATAATATCAGGTATTATGCTTTTGAGGGTGGCTGTTGACATGTACACTATATCAATCAAGGTAAGTTACCTATTTACAATAACAATCAATGAAATGAAAACCACAATACCATAGCGCGGGGATATTTCGCGATTTGCCTGGTAACAATAATAGAGTACACGCAAAATTCACGTATAACATAAATTTCAAAAAGAGCGCGAAAATATCCTGCTGTTTTTGGACTGCGGTAAGTCTTTTTCAAAATAAAAAACTTTATAAAATATTAAACAATTCAAAGTTCTGATGTTGATGTTGATATATGATCTTGATGTTGATAATGATGATGGTAAATATGATTAAAAAATATTTGACATTAATTTAATTAATTTGTCACAGGCTTCAAATCTTTTCTCACAGAACTAACCTGTCATACAAATAATTTTTCACTATAGAAATAAGCGATGTTGAACGTGAGGAAGATTGTAAGTTACAGCTAATTTTTTTATAGATGCTTTGCCATAACTAAAACATCCATTTTATCGTGGTACCAGCTGTAGTTAATCCTGCACCTCCTCAGTTAGCCCAGGAGGGGCAAAGACCTGGTATGGTGAATTTCAAATGTTATATATATATATATATATATATATATATATATAATTTACTAACTATATATCTAACTAACTTATATAATTTCCAATTCAGAACAATTGCTGCCAGGTCGAAACCATGAAGGTATTAGGATGACTAAGTGGCCTTGCTTTGAGTTGTTTTTATGGGCACCTCCTTATAATATGCCATACAACATATGTCAAACTTGTAATGTTTTATGTTTGTTTTATTTTAGATCGTCCACGATTTCCAAGATTGGAAGGCAAAGGCAAATTATAAATTATATCCACTGAAAAATTTTGTTTGGGGTTTTGACATTGGGTTTTGACATGACAGTTTGGTATTTTGTCTTTTTTTACTTTTACATGGTCAGATGAAAGGTTATTAAAATTTTATTCATCATGGTCAGTTAATTTTCTGTTTTTGACAGTGAACTAATCATTTCCTAATATTCCATGATAGGGCGGTGCTACAAATGTGGCCTTCGTGGCCACAGAGCTGCCCTGTGTCATTCACGTATGTACCTTATGATTTGTCATGTACTCTTCAGTCAGGTGGTCGAGTCATAGGTTTACACAAAAACTGTGGTAAAATTGGGAAATTTAACTTTGGCTCTGGAGCTAAATTTACCATGAATAATTGCCAGGATAAGAATGTTTTAGATTATTCCTCTGTCTCAAACTGACGATCCAACTCGTTAACCCAAAGTTGCATTGTATAAACGAATTTGCAGTTAGCTGAAAGCTATATAATGATATTTTTTATTTATAGGGGCGGTGTGTTGGTTATGTGGCCAACGAGGCCACACAAAAGTCGTGTGCCCCCGGCGTCAGAGGGCACAAAAAAACCCGGAAAAGCCGGTTATGCAGTTTACAAACTGCACGTTTGAGAAGTTTAATGCTTAAACTTCTCAAACGTGCAGTTTAGGCTACATGGACATACAGTCTAATTAAAATATTTCCGTTCAACATGTTACAAAACTGTATCAACATTTAAAAAAAACAATGAGCTAGATAAGTACAAAGTAGAAACAGGACAATATTGTTTTCAACTAGCTGTCCAGAAATCACTGTATGTCAACGTAGCCTTATGTTGTTATGTTGCATGTGCATTTTATTCAATTATTGTATATTTGTTTTATCGATTTT